GCTGTGAATTGAAATCTCCTCAATGGTGAAGGATGGGGCATGAAGCCTACTTAGAGGAATATATATATATAATCATCTGATTGGAGACTCTTACAGATCTTGTAACAATCCATACATCAATCATATCAAGCACATTTACACATATGTTGCCATCATCATTTTCAAAACACTTTCTTTCTACTTGCGCCCTGGGTACATTTTTTAAAGAATCATTATGACCACAAATATAATCCTTAAACATTAATTTTTTTAGCCTTAAGTCTTTATAGTCGTATAAAAATGGAACCTTGTATTGACAATCTCCGAAGAACAGGCTCTAATCTTTCAAATAACCCATCAGTTGCCAGCAAGTCAATGCTGACTCATCACGACCCCTCGTGGGTCAAAACAGAACTGTGTTCCATACAATTTTTCAATGACTGACTTTTTGGAGTGGATTCTGAGGCAACTCTGGATGAACACACACCTCCAACTTTTTGGTGAAGCATTGAACACGTTAACTGTTTGCAGGGCCAAGACACTGGATCAGATAATATTATACCTTGTATTTCAACACCTATTTTCCCAATACATTTTCTGGAATGCTTACTTTCTGATCCTCAGAGCAACCTGATAATATATACAAAGTTCTTGACATTGAACTTTGACATTGGAATCCTTTTCCCCTGCTCTGCTTCCCAACTATATATGTAGATTGGGATAAGTTCCGCTATCCTTCTGAAACCAAGAGAATAAAAAGAGGGGCGTGATGGCTCCATGACAGGTTCTTGGTCTCTTCTGTGCCCCTGTTTGGCAGTCTAATGAAGTCTTGGGGCCTTTCTAAGAATCATCTTTTTAAAATTAATAAGATAAAACCAACAGGAATAGAAATGAAACCAATTATCCCCAAATTCAATTATTAAAATATTTAAAAGCAGATCTGTGGCGTGGTCGTATGTGTGTTAGTGTAACATTGAATAAAAGGTCCAATGGCGGAGGCAGAGCGACTGCCATTCTCCCCGAGGGATGAGTGTGAACAGACAGCACTTGAATGCTCCACCACAATGCCAATCTGATGGGGAGGGTGTGCCCTTTCCACCGACGGCAGTCAGAGACCTTGCTCCTAACAGTGTGGTTTGTTGTCTGCAGTCAACACTAATGGAAATGCTAAACTTCAATGACAAGTCAGAGGGGGAAAAAAAGCAAAACAACTTCTATGTAAGTTTAACAATGTCCTGGATTCTGTCCAGGTGAAGAAAAACCTACATTAGGGAATCAGAAAGGACTTTGCCACAAAAATATTCAGGATGATCAGAATTCCTCCTAGTTAGGCAAGGTGGGGACATCTACCTTTGTTCTTCTCAAAGTGCGGTTCGTGGACCAGCAATAGCAGCAGTTAAGGGGGATCTTGTTAGAAAGGAAGACCCTCAGGACCCATCACAGACTATGGGATTGGAATCTGTGTTTTGAAAAGAGCCCCAGGTGATTCTGTATCACGTCAACATGTGAGAAGCTCTGTGTTCTGTCTGCGTGCTTGCCAGCTATAGCACTTTGTATTCCTTAGACCTACAGTCAATTTCTTCCATTTAGAGGACAGCACTGAAGCTGCAGCTCGGGGAGAGGACATGTCTGATCAGAGCACATGGGAGCAAATGAAGGGGGAGGATGAGCGAGTGGAGCGCATCCTGGCCCACCAAGCCAGGAGGACGATATCCCCGCTCAGAACAGTCAATGCACAGGGTGGACCATACGGCTGGCCCCACTATGAGACATGATGTCCCTCACTGACCCATGGCCCTATGGGGGGAAAACACTGGAGACACAGTGTCAGGATTGGCCTTGTCTGACCCCACCACAC